TTAATTTTTTCTTCCTCCAATTTCCCATAATATTTAGCAGTTAAATTAAAAAGTGTGTTTGATTTGATTTGATTTGAAAAAACCTCCACTATGTCTTCAAATTATAGCGAGGAAAAGACCCTCAATTTCGCAAAAACATATGTTTAAATAAACAATAGAGAGTGGAAATGTATAATTTCCACCTTTTTTCGTCCTTCTGACTTGTGAGGTAGGAACTTCCCTTGGGAATCTCACTTAAAATGCGGTGGGCATGGTGAAGAGAGGGGGAAGGCCCGCCAACCGTTCCTGTTCAGGCCTCAGTAGGTCCATATTATTTATTCACAACAACAAAAAAAGCTTCTGACTCATAAGGTAGAAAGCCTTATTTTCGGGTAGTGAAAATACGTCCACCCCTTAGTTTCTGCACACCGAAACCTGCCAACCATTACGTTTTTTAGTTGACCGAGGACTTGGCATACCGGCCCACTAAAAAACGGCCTTCTAACAGATGACTGAGGCTTTTGTGTCACGGGCTCTTAGACTATAAGATGTTTACTTGCCAGGCGTGTATGTAATCTTGACATTACTGACTTTTTAAAATTTTGGAAGTGTCACATTACCTGCTTCTACTTCCATCTTCGATTTCCCTCACCGATTTCCCTATTAGATTTTCCTCACTGTAATTTATTTACCTTTGCCGGCAACAATGAGAACATGTCAGGTAAAAACGTCAAAAGAGTAAATGACAGATTCTGGCATGTTTTTTTTTTTTTTTTTTTAATTTAACGGATTAAATAATTTTCAATTAACAGTGCTTGCAAATAAAATATATAACCTCGGAGGAAAGTTTTCATTTCTGTCTCGAGATTAATAGTCAATCTCGACGCTTCGCGTCTCGATTGACTATATAAATCTCTCGACATTAATGAAACACTTCCCTACTCGGTATGTAATGTAGTATTTTCTCCGAATGACAGTAAAAGCGGCCTTTTAATGACACTTGACAAGATCAAAAGTTGTATTTTTACTGCCTAGGCAGTAATAGTGGACTTTCACTGCCTAGGCATTAAAAATGACAGTGTCATAACCCGGGTAATAATTTCACTCATTTGGTATTTGTAATTGATGGTGACAATGACAATTTTGAAAATAATTTAATTATTTGGATAATAAGAATGAATGAAATAAATATAAATAGATGTCCATGTGTAAATTTGAACATTCGTAGAAAAAATTATATATTTTACATGGCAGAAAAGCAGATTTAATGCCTCGGCTGGTTTCCTAGCCTCGGCTATGAAACACCAGCCGCGGCATTAAATCTTGTACTTTTCTGCCTAGTAAAACAAATAACTATTTTCTCCGAATGACAGTAAAAGCGGCCTTTTAATGACACTTGGCAGGATCAAAAGTTGCATTTTCACTGCCTAGGCAGTAAAAGTAGACTTTTACTGCCTGGGCATTAAAAGTGACAGTGTCACAACGTTCCAGGTATAGGCCAGGAAAGAGAGGTTGAACCTCGCAAACTCGACACAAGTTCTGTTTTATTTTTTTTCTGGTAGGACAAGTGCTTCTTATCATGGGTCTAACTTTTTCCAACAAAATTTCTCCCTGCAACATCCCCTTTCATCCCCCTTAAGGTAATTTTTTGTGGTTTTTCCGAAACGTAGCGCTTCTGCTACATGTTACAACAAAATACCTTTATAGTAAATTAAAGAGGACTAAATGCTCTACAATTTATTCAGCGACAGCATTTGTCAATCTCTTACCCTTTAGCCAGGGTGGGGCTCTAAAGTTAAATGACTTTGAGAAAAGATGTTTTGGGAATTATTTTTTTTTGACTGAACAGTGAAACGAATTTACCAGAAACTAGGCAGCAACTGCTCATAAATAATTGGCCGATTTTTTGGTATAAGTTTTATTTAAAAACATTCACCCCTTTTAGATATACAGGGTGTTGAAATTTAAACAACCCCCTCTCATATCATCTGAAGGGTTAATGCTAGAGTGTTCAAATTTTCAGGGATTAGTGATGCAGGAATAATATTTAAAAATTCATATAATGCATCCCCATTTTTCATCTGGAACTACCCCAAAAAAAAAAATTAAACTAAAAAAAAATTGCCTGTTTTTTCGTTTTGTGTGAATGGTTCCAATATTATTTTGTGCACACCCCCGACATACATGCAAAGACACCAAAAGCATTTTTCTATTACAACCCCACTAGACGGAAAAAAATATATATATCAAGGGGGTGAAAAAAAATAGTTATTTATGCAACAAGTGTGTAAAGTGAACCTTTTTTCACGAATGTGAATTTTGACGCACGAGCCGAAGGCGAGTGCGACAATCACATGAGTGAAAAAAGGTGCTTTACGCACGTATTGCATACAAAATTTTTTCTACTACTAATCAAATATGTGTAAAAAAATAAATTTCTACAAATATTTTACGCACTAGTGCGTGAAGAATTTTCACTTTACGCACTAGTGCGTGAAGTAATTTACCAGAAAAATGCCAAATTGACAGTGTTGACATCTGTCATTGACATTACTTCACGCACTAGTGTGTAAATTGAATTACTTTACGCACTAGTGCGTGAAGTGTAATTTTACATCTTGTGAATAGTGCGTAAAGTGAGTACTTTACGCACGGTAGTAGAAAAAAATATTTTTTGGCTTTTTGTTTCACAGAGGTCAGTAGCGGACTAAGGGCCGGTATTATAAAACTGCTTTGACAGTTAACTTGAAGTTAACTTTTTGAATTACATGCAATTCAAGAAGTTAACTTTAAGTTAACTCTCAAAGTAGTTTTATAATACCCGCCCTTAATAAGCTTTCCAAAAATATATCTACTTATTGCAACATTCCTCTGGAAACTACCCCTGCCCCTTATGGAAGTTGTCGCAACCACTCTTTTGTGGTTATTTCGTTACCTATGCATTGAATAAGAAGGAAATTTATACGAAATTAAAGACCACCACATGCTCTACAAATAAAGTCTCGATGCATTTTTTTTTATATTTGCAATCGTTACGCTACAGTGGCGTCCTAAAGTTCAGTGACGAGATAATGGAATAAAACTGGAATTCGCCATACAATTTTTGAGCTTTGGGACGCCACTGTGGCGTAACGGTTGCAGAATATAAAAAAATGCATTAGGAACCTAGTTGTAGAGCAAATGCTGGTCTTCAATTTCGTATAAATTTCCTTCCCATACAATGCATATGTAACGAAATAATCGCAAAAGAGTGGCCGCGACAACTTCCATAAGGGGCAGGGGTAGTTTCCGGGGGGATGTTGCAGTAATTAGATATATTTTTGAAAAGCTTATTAAGTGGGCTACTGACCTATGTGAAACAAAAAGCCTAAAAAAAAAATATTTTTTTCACACTCTCAATATTTTTTTTTTCCGTCTAGAGGGGTTGTACTAGAAAAATGCTTTTGGTGTCTATGCATATATGTCGGAAGTGTGCACAAAAAAATATTTGAACCATTCACATGGAGGGCATTGTGTGCGAGAAAATGAAAAAAAAGGCATTTTTTTTTCAAATTTTATTTTTTTTGGGGTGGTTCCAGGTAGAAAATAGGGGTGCATTATACGAATTTCTCAATATCATTCCCACATCAATAATCTCTGAAAATTTGAACAGCCTAGCATTAGCCCTTCAGATGATATGAACGGGGGTTGTTTAAATTTCAACACCCTGTATATCTTAAACGGCTAACTGTTTTTAAATGAAACATATACCAAAAAATCGGCCAATTATTTATGAGTATTTGCTGTGTGGTTTGTGGTAGATTCGCTTTACTGTTCAGTAAAAAAATAATAATTTCCAAAATATCTTTTTTCAAGGTCATTCAATTTTAGAACGTCACCATGACTAAAGGGTAGGTGATAGACATATGCTGTCGCTGGATAAATTGTAGAGAATTTAGTTCTCTTTGATTTACTATGAAGGTTTTTGTTTTGTAAAACGTAGCGTAAGCGCTACGTTTCGGAAAAACCGCAAAAATCGACCTTCAGGGGGATGAAAGGGGATGTTCCAGGGTGAAATTTTGTTGGAAAAAGTTATAAGCAGCCCTTGTCCTACCAGAAAAAAAATAAAACAAAACTTGTGTCGAGTTTGCGAGGTTCAACCTCTCTTTCCTGGCCTAGTAATAATTTCACTCAATTTGGTATTTGAAATTAATGGTGACAATGACAATTATTGTCAAAATAATTTATTTATTGGGATAATAATAATCAATGAAATAAATATGAAAAAGATGTCCATGTGTGAATTTGAACATTCGGAGAAAAAATTATATGTTTTACATGGCAGAAAAGCAGATTTAATGCCTCGGCTGGTTTCCTAGCCTCGGCTATGAAACACCAGCCGCGGCATTAAATCTCGTACTTTTCTGCCTTGTAAAACAATAGTATATTGTGTATTTAGGTGGAAAAGTGACTCATTCTCGGCCGATGGTGTAAGTTGACGGGCGAGGCGTAGCCGAGGCCGGCAAACACCGAAGGCCGAGAATGTGCTTTTCTACCGAAATACACATACTACTTTTTCTGCGATCGGTTAAATACCTGTTAAATGTTTGTCTTTTAGTTTCAATTATTCAGCAGTACGAGAATCACTTACCCGGCCTAGGCCGGAAAAGTGTTTCCCGTATTGTTATTCATTGATTCCTTAGCAACTATTGAAACATAATTGAAATACCAGAATATTGAGTTTTGCGACCTGTCAACCGGTCAAAAATGCTGGAATTTCTTGTCAATCGCAGAAAAATAACTTTTGTTTGATTTTTAATGGAATGCATTGCAGTACAATCCTATGTTCTGGTTCATTTAAATACCCGAGTGTTTATTTTGAACACCTGGCTAAAAAATTCCAAATTTTATTCGGATCAGGTATCATATTCAAGGATATTAAAGAAGGATTCTCCAATTGGCTGCAGCGATGTTATTTGCTCTAATTGAATACTTAAACCAACATTACAGTCACAATTTTTTTTTTAAATAAATTTTACAAGGTTCCACTTTGGATGGTGGTATTTCAGATTCTTTGATGCCCACTTTTATATGCATTTCGCAACGTTAAATATTATTTTTAACTTAACTCGACTGATGGGATCTCAAAATGGATGTGCTACAGAAAAAGGGTAATAAAAAACGGGGTTCCCGCGCCATCCGCCCATCAGGGTAGTTCCCGATGCCAGACCTAAAAACAAGTGAGCTTTATAGCTTAAGCTGGACGTTTTTGGGAAGGTATTAAACGTTATTTATTCGAACTCTCAACAGGGAAAGGATCCTCAAAAGCCTTCCCTTCATTATAAATTGATTGTTTTTTCGAGCATTTATTAAATTTATGGCAAGTGTAAATCGATATTCATAATATAAGTAAAGCTTAATGGATTAAGATTTAATTTAATATATTCAATGCAGAATGTTTTAGAATTGATGAGTATATCCCCTAAAATTGGATAAATCCACGATTATCATCAATTTTACGAAACTCCTGATACTAATTCATATTCTTTAAAAGTAAGATTTGATTAGAATATAATATTAAATTTTAATGAAACTTCTAATTTTATAAGCGACTGACCATTTTCATCTATTTTTGTATAGCTGCGCTATTCTTCATATCCATTACAACTTTCTTGAAACTAATCCTGAAACTCAAGGTAACTATTACGCATAGTCTAAAACCATTTGATATCTATAATATATATAAATATCCAGCCGAAATAAGATCCCTCTGGCTTTCTACGACGTATGGGCTGTAAAAAACATCAATAAATGCGAGGGATGCTTCTTGAAGAGGAGTTTTTAGTCCGGAACAGCCGAGAACAGGATATTTGACTTAGCTACTTGTAGTTATACGGCTTCTTTCTTGGTAAATTATCTGTTCGTATATTTCCTAAATAAACTGGGGAAAATAGGTAGACACATGAATCAAAATGTTGAAAAAAATTAGGTTAAAAGTCAAAAACACATTTCTACATAAGCCCATGCTCATTGCTCTTCAATGGTACCTACATATATCCGGTTTCACATGCCCCATGCGTCGTAACGTAAGATTTTCTAAGTCAGCCATAGAGTTTGCTACGAGAAATATTAGAACCGTAGCCGCTTAAGCCTACAAACATAATCAGAAATATCAGTGGCGGCTCGTCAGAGGAGTCAGGGGAGGCTAAGCCTCCCCCAAAAAATTTAAAATTCAATCTCAATTTTTTGTCTCTGAATCCTAATTAAAATAATAATTCACAAATTACACTTTCCAAATTTTGATATTTTAATGTAATTAAGAACGATCTGCCAACTTTATTTCAAACAATTCCGCGCCTCCACGACAAAAATTTGTGAATTTGTCCCTTTCCGGCCTTTCCTACAATTATTCTAAGAATAGAAATCGACCGGAGGCTAGACTCTCACAAGTCTCACATGCTTCACTGAAATCTAGTATTCAAATGGCCCGCGAATCTCAGCCTCCAATAGAAATGCCGGAAGCATATCGAACCACTACTGGCGTTCAGCGGCCATCATCTCGAGAGGCGGCTAGCCGCACGGTTGAAAACAACTGCAATATCCTTGCTTTTTTATCTCTGTTTTATGCAATAGTGTTGGAGATCACTTTTCTAGTTGGAAGTTGTAGATTTATAGTTGATTGATATTTTTTTGCATCGGGTGCATTGTAAATTATTGTGCATCTTGTTGCAGAAAGTACATAATTTTCATCGTAATTAATCATAACTATCAATTTGTGCCTTCCTTGTATTTTTTATTTTTTATTTTTCGTCAAAATTTACTCTGAAAATATGTACTTATATGAAGAAAATGAACATTTTCTCGAGTATTCATGGTTTTTATTAAATTTGAGATAAATTATTTAGGGCGTGGGCACCCCAAAACGAATATTGCCTGCTGCGCAATGGTGCTGTGGTTACCTTACCGTCATTCATTATTTTTTAGCCTCCTCACTTAAAATAGTCACGAGCCGCCACTGCGAAATATCTTAAATTATCATTCGGCCAAAAAGATTAGTCAGAAAGTTACCGCCATGTATTAAGTAGTACATGGTGCTTGAAATAATGATAAATGCAAACTTCTGATATTGATTTCCTTGCAAATGTGGGGTGGGTAACAAAGCTATGCCCTCGCAATTAGAACACAACTTGCTCGGTTGTTGTACCTGCCTTTGAATTAATTAATATCTCGCCTAGGAATTTCTCCAACTAACTAACTAACTAATCATATCTTCTTTGACGATTATTAATATATTTCTACCTTCATACAACATCTCAACAATCCGTAATATTCATAACTGACATTTAGTTATCTACTTGGTTTATTGATTAAGTTTCCATTCCAATAACAAGTTAATCTGACGCTAAAGTACCAATTTTCCGAGAACTTCTGAGACATGCATTAATAAGGACTTATGTTTTTCTCAAGTGAATGAGGAAGAAATTTTAACCTAATAAAACAAGGATTTCAATTGAGGTACAGTATTTTTAAATTACAAAATAACTATAAGAAATAGTTTGGAGTTATTTAGTTTCATGATTGGCTGCAATAATTTCCGACCTTATTCTTCGTTCAAATTTAGCAACGCGTCAATTTGTGGTCTAGTTAATAGAGACCTCAAGATAATCGCAAATCTCTACTGGAATCAGACTGCACAAATCAAAGTAGACCAACAAATGCCTGACGAAGAGGTGTCCGGCAGGGTTGCATCCTTTCACCATTACTTTTTAAAATTTATTCGAACAAAATATTTGAAAAAGCATTGGAAGGCTGCACTGAGGGAATTTCTATCAACGGCGATTCTCTGGAAGGTCTTCAAGTAGTACTTGATCATTTGGCTACTAAAAGTGAGTAAAGAGGAGTTATTCTTCAGGTACAAAATCAAAAGGTCCATCATAGGGTCCAATCCTACAGATACCTAGGATGTCAGGTTAATGAAGACTGGGATAACATGCAGGAGGTTCGGGCCAGGATTAAACAAGCCAGAGCATCATTTGTAAAAATGAAGTTCGTGTTGTGTAGTCGAGGTCTCTCGTTCTCCGTTCGCACTCGAGTACTACGTTGCTATGTCTTCAGTATTCTCTATTAGGGTATTGAGGCGTGGACTCTGACAGAAGCCATGTGAAAAAGCTAGAGGTTTTTGAAATGTGGACATATAGACGGATGTTAACCTTCCATTAGTCGCGCATGTACCTGAAAGATACATGCCTATAATTTTTGCAAATAAACCAAAAAGGAAAACCCCTATAATATTATGGCTTGTAGTAGTCCTTAGGTACCCTATACTAATTACTTTTCCAAAATAACATGCTCGTACCTCTACTTGGAAATTTGGAATTTCCAAAAAACCAGGGGTGCGTTCGGCTTTGTACCTGTCTGATACAACGCGACTATTCTTATTAACATCGGTGCTCCTCAATTGTAACTGTTTTCTTGGTATGTGAACATATTTTTTTTATAAAAATATTATGCTACATGAGGCTGTTCTTCTTAGGTGAAGATAGAACTCGATGAGACAAAATTCCTGCCAAGCTGACTCGGACGAGACCACATAATATTATGTTGAAACTGCCGGGCGTTGTTGACCAAACTGCAATGACTGCGAAAACAGAATCCAACTTCTGGAATCTCTTTTTCAGTAAAAATTGATTGTTGAGTACACGAATCAATACATAGAAATTGTAAAACTGGAATTCATCAGATGGATCAATTTTTTTATCAATGATTTATTATATGTATTTTTGTGATGCAGCGCGACTAATGATATTATAAAAACTCACGCACCTAATGGAAGGTTGAGAATATCTTGGACGGACAGAGTGCGCAATGAAGATGTGCTAATGAGAATGTCAAAAGATCTTGAAGTTATGTTTACGCTTGAAAAGCGAAAGTTAGAGTACTTCGGACACATACACCAGGAATGACAAATACCTACTTCTCAAGCTCATTATCGAGGGAAAATCGAAGGTAGAAGAGGCCCTGGACGTCGAAGAATATCTTGGCTAAAGAATTTGCGTCACTGGTGTGGCGAAACCTCAACAACTCTATTCAGGAAAGCAGTTGACAAATGGGTCGAAACTAAAAAGTGAGGCAGTTTCACTAGGCACATAAATTATTGCAAACAAATAAAAACTTGGAAAATTGAAGCGGTTTTACATGGGTGCTATATGGAGCAGTTAATAGACAAAACAACAGAGGTTCAATGGTAACACATCAATACACAAAGACTTTGGAGGATCTGGAAAGAGGAGAAACTCAACTTGAGCCTTACAGTTATATCCTATTATGATGATAGTATAGAATAAATTGTCATGGGAGTACTAAATTTTAAATCAATAAATTCTTGATATACAGGGTGGGCCAATGGAAACTTTACACCCCGATTTTTTGGATATGAAATAAAAATCTGGAAAAACGCTCGGACACGTGAATCTTGGATTTGAGGGGGAATTATTTTCCAGTTTTTTCCATCCCCGTACCTTCAAGCCCCTAGCTGGGGAAAGAACAACCCCCCAAATTTGAATAGGGGACATGACCACTAGTCATACATCTTTTTAAAGGTCTCATCAAGTTCTTTATGACCCTAGAGTTTCGACTTATTATTTTCATCCGTAACGAAATGACAGGTTGTCAAAATCTTGGGAATAGACTGTGACCGAACTAGCTATTGCCCCTTTTTGGGCTTTAGTCAAACCGCACTAGGGATGCCAAACTTTCTTACTTTGACTGACTGTAAAAATTAATCACTAGGTATTGGATCATTTAAGCCTTGTATTGGGTTAGGTGTTGCCTTGATTCTCATTTATACAAATAAAATGCTGAAATAGAATAATTATCAATTTAATTAATGAATGAAAGTAATTCGGTATAGTCAGCAATGAAATCCTATCTAAAAATTCCTAATTGGACGTACAGTTGAACTACAAATTTTATACTAATCACTAATCTAAAGTAAATAAGTATCTTGATTCATAAATGGTAAGGAAATCTGATAGTGATAATATTATCATTTATGGTTAAATGTTAAGTGAACGAAAACACAAATTAACTAATTAAATGCACGAGAGCACA